GTGGAGAGGGTATGGTACGCACTGAGCGCGAACATGGCGTCGGATGTGCACAAGCGACCCCGAAGCTCGTTTCTTTCTGGATAATCGCATCAGTGGGCGTCTGCCTTGCGGCTAAGCTCAAGACGTACCCTTCCAACGGCGCGAACTGACGCGTCGTGATCGTTCGCCGGGCGCCTTCGCAAGAAGCTGGCTTCTTCCTGTACGAAGTTCTCTCGGCGGAGGGCCATTGTCCTCATCTGAAGCGCAGAGCGAGGTGAGCGCGCGACGAACAGCGGGCAGAAGCCACTCGTGGCTCTTGATCAAGATGGATGGCTTGTGATTACACGAAAGCGGTGATCGCCGAGGCAGCGGCAGTACCTTTTCCAAATGCAACTTCAGATAAGATGCACATGACACGTACTCTACCGGGTCATATTGGTACCTTTCACAGTGCATGTTGGCGTTCGGGATATCGAGATGAGATTCACTTCGCCGCGAGTGAACGTAGTAGTATATTGTACGATCTTCCCATGCTTTCTGCAGCCGCGCAATGCGCTTCTGACAGAGTCTTTGCCTTCTCAAGCTCAAGTCCGATACGAGCCAGTTTCGGGGCTTCCTCACCTTCATCAACTAGTACTCTTCCACAAATGGAGTTCGGGCTACTAGTACCACGGCGTGATGTAAAGGAGCAAGAGCGCAATGACATGGCACCGAGCGAGGTGCTCATCTCACTTCGATTGCGCTCACTGCCTTTGTGAAACGGCTTACTGTAGAGCAGCGCGGTGTGAGGAACGAGCCGCTTGCGCGGAGGCAAGATGAAGTGAGACTGCGGCGTCTAGGCGAAAAGTGCCAGAACCCGGCCATCAAAGAAGCGTGGCCTGCTAGCATGAGGCAGGTCCACGCGCTCCGGCAAACGCCATGAGCTCTCTTTCCACGGCTTCGACCTCCTCTCGGTCGCGTTTGCTCGCTCTTTTTGTCCCACCCACCTCTCTCTTCCTTCGGTTGACACATAGCGCTAAGCGCTAGGGGTTATCTCCGGGCTCCAGCTCTCGTTCTCGGTCCCCCGCTTGAAGGTTCACCCGTGCGTAGCAGCTCGCGGCGCATACGGCTTCGCGTCAGCCTCTGGCACCTTTCGAGCAGGCTCGGCGACGCGTCTAGCGCGTGTCTCATGTGACCGCGTGCAGCGCGGCTGTTTCGAAGGAATGCTTTGTTGATGTGACTGTCCCCCTCAAACTCACGGGGGGACGACGGGTGGGACCTCTTCCCGTCTCGGGAAAAGAATGAGAACACACATGAGGCTGGGCACGAGAAGATGCCAACGCCCGTGTCGGAACGACCCGCATTTTGCTCTCGTACGAGAGCGCAGACTGTGATGAGGAGGACGAGTCACCAAGGGACTCGGAGAGCAGCAGATCTACGGCATCTATGGCTGATGCGACTGCACCTCGCGCGGTGTCTTATCCGGGTTGGAGTGAGGGTGTACCTGACCTACCAGTATGCTGCTGGGGTAACTGAGCAAGTATGTCAAGGAGGTACGCGATCCCTTGGATGCAGCTGAGCCTCGCCAAGACGTGAAGGAAGTTCCCGGGTGGCGGCAGTGGTCAAGATCCACCAACAGTTTCGAGGCATCATAGGCGTCACCCTCATAGACATTCACGATACCGATTCTCGATCCCGTAGCGAGAGGGCTGTCTGGTCGAGCGTTCGCCAAATCAGTGCAACAAGACGGCGGCGAGATTGAAAAGAGCATTCAGTGAATAGAGGAAGGGAGTAGTACACATGATTACAGTATCTGATATAGTAAGCCCAATCAACAGACATCCCCCCATACACCATTACCATCCCGCGAAAACATCGGCGTTCAGGGTATTATCGTACGCCAAGGGTGGGAAATCTAAAGGGGTGGAATCACCGAGCGTCGGAGACAGAGTAGTGTAGGTAGCAAGATCGGCGAGGAAGGAGTCGACTGAATACGATTTATCCTCACTAGATCCAGCAACGCCTGCATTGGCGAGGGTCTCACCCGAGTCCCAGAGTGGGAAGGTGCTGAAGCCGAGATGAGAAGCGTTGTTTGTAGTCGGCTCTGCCGTGATCTTGACGTCGGGTGAGGTCGTGAGAATGTTCGACGGCGAGGACAAGCCAAGGTCGGCGCACGACGCATCCCGAGTGTAAGATGGTCTCGATGGCAGGTTCGCTGCAGGAAGATCGTCGAGGATGCCCAGGTAAGGGTTAAACGACGTTTCGTTCATCCATGACAAATCGGCGGTGAAGGGCGGGTCGTTCTGGGGGGTGGCATCGCATTGTAGCCAAGGCGGAAAGATCGAAGCGTAGTCGACTCCAGGGGACGCCTTTGCCTGCCGAGTGCCATTAGGTCGGAGAAGAACAAGTACGA